GAACGTTGGGATACTTAGGTTAGATTCGGAACGCCACGTACCAATTTACAGTGCCGGCAACAATCATCTCGTACCTTAAAAAAAACGTACCATATCACGTGCCACGCTTTGGCGAGTTAAGTTCAGGCCCACAGTTGGTACGCCCTTTTAAGCCATGACGTAGCCGGAGGCCTCCTCTCCCCGCAGTGGAATATCAAAAAAACTTGCGCGTATAGTACCTTAAGTCTTTGAATCAGCCCCCAAAATTAGTAATGGAATGGGTAAAAATGCGGTAAAAATACCCTTCTTTTCCAGGTGCAACGGCTTCGCAAACCCCGCAGGGGATCGGCAAGCAGAGAAGCGTTTTCGTCGACGGCAATAGCGTCCTCGCGCAGAGATTTTGTGCGGCCTTCCTGCATCGTACGACTGAGACTAGCCTTGTAACGGACCGTAGCGCGACCTCAAAACGACAAAGCTGTCCAGTGATCGGTGTTCAGTATTCAACGAAAAAGAAAATGACAGAATTCTTTTGTGCAACATCTGATGAGCAAGATGAATAAATCAGAAAACGCATTTTTAAGAAGCAAGGAAAAATTTATTTCCTTCATTACATGGCAACACTATTTCGAAAGGCCACTTAAGTCTACGTACTAAAGTGTATAGCATAGTAACAATTACATGAAAATAGAAAAGATTGTGGTTAAATTGTGTTGTCATTTGTGCTTTTGGTCAGATACATGAGCTGTCAGTTTCAAGACTTAATATTATTATTTCCCATAGTGAACGTAGTTCTTGTCATCTCCGTTCCCCCGGGCGCTCTTGGCAGTCTGTTGATTTATGTAAATTTTGGGGTCATAAGCATATTCTTGGTGGTTGGACGCGTCCAAAAAGTCAGAAACGAGCAACTTTTACTTCAAATTTGGAAAATGATATTTTAGCGACCTACCGTTAGGAGATTAAACATATAATTTGACAAGGGCACCAATGACCTTAAAGTTGAATCGCCCCTACGTCTTATTAATCAAGACTTTCTCATGCAGTTCTGCCGGAAAAGACTATTAATACACATGAAAGTTCTTTTCTGTTGCTGGCCTCGACTTTCTCACTCGCACGTGATCATAGTTGAACAGAATTCCCCACCATTGTTGGTGGGGAGGGGGGTGAGCACGACGGTAACTTAAATTTTTCTACCAATTACTCGGCGATGTACTATTCTAACGGTTTATACTAATGCGACAAGGCTCGAGCAAGAAATCATTGGCAACTATTTTAGTCGTAATGTTAGAGTACTGTTACATAAAGTGACAAGTTTCAAAGGAAGATTTAACAGCCAACGTTAAAGAATATTCGTTATCTTCAGTATCAAAAGTATTAAACATTTAAGCGTAAAATTTTCGCAATTATAAATTAAGAAAGGCAAAAATAAAATAAAGAGTTAAGAAGAATAGAAGTAAAATATTAAGAAGTTAATTTGCATAGTTGATCAAAATGGGATAGATGCAAAGACAAACGTTTGTAGTGTTCCAATTGTATAAAAAGTAATACTAATAAGGGTAGGTAATAGTGACTCAGAATGTTAACGTAACTAGATTTAAAATAAGATATTTAGTTATCATTTACAGTGCAACGACCTACTCGGTTGTAAAATGCGGGCCTTTGACCTCTATTTTTATGATCCAGAAGAGTTCGCAGGAGGCGCACTTCGAATTGTGCTGTGAAGATGTACGAAGGGAACGCAGTTATAAATGCAGAATTAAATATATATTTTAACATTGTATAAAAGGTAGATGCAGGTTCCAAGATGCCAAACGAGTTTTGTTAATTTTAATGCGAATGTTTTGGGAAATTGTTTTTGGTTTAGAATTTCCCCATTTTCTGAAAGTCACCAGAATAATCTCAAAGTTAAAGACGTACGAACATGAAGTAGCTGCGAAACATTGAATCGTTAAGAAATCTGCAACTACTCTAATATTAACGTACCTGGTGCACCAGCTCGATTTCTATAATAGTTGGATAGAAGGGTTTAAAGATGAAAAAAGTTTTTAATATTGTAATGAATTTTATTGAATTTTCTGTGCATTTGTAATTAATTTTGAGCTTGAATTGTGAAGAGTAATAAAAGCATTGTAAAAGTGTGTATTTAGTTTATGCAAAAAGTTGTAATTTTGTTTTAATATCCCGGGTAGAGAAACATTTGGGCATTTGTCAGACAATATGTAAACATTATTCCCGATCTTTAGAAAATTCCAAAATACTATTTCATTCCCTAAGATATAACAATATTCCTGTCACCCTCAAATGAAATAAAATTTATATTAATGTACTATTTAATGAATCTAAGAGAGAAAACAAATCACCTGTCACTTGAAACGGTGTTTAAAATCGCCGAATAATGAACAGAAACTGGCAATTAACACTTACCATCAATATTATTCAGTTCTAGTTCTCGCCAAAACCCTGTGAAAATGAGCTGAAATTTGTGCAATTCAGAAAAAAGCGTAAACTCTTTCCTCTCAAAAGCAGCTTCAAATTTTTCAATGAAAGTGAATATAGGATCAGACTTTTTTACTTCTGAAACATTCTTGGTCTTATATCGGTTCTATTGAGATGCCTAGAAAATCAGAATGCGAAAAATGTAATCGTCATTGCCAACAATATTGTTTATTACAAGAGCAGCTTTCCATGGCTGTCATCGGTTTTCTAGTACAAAAATATAAAAAAAAGTATTAGAGTAAAAAAACATTACGATAGATTACTAACAAATGAAAATGAAAAAAATAGAATTAACATTTTTAAGAGCTGAAACAAAGGGAATGTTAAATCATTTACGAACGAAATCTGGGAATAAAACCGAAAGAGTACACCAGACTAAAGAGATTAGGAATCCAACTTGTTCGGAAAAGTCTTGATTATGAAGTGCCCCTAGTCACTTGCTCTACTATTTTCGTAAATCTTATTTTTAGCTGCTATATGCTTTTTTGAAAAATCGTCATTGAAGACTTGAAAATTCAGTTGAAAAAGTATTAAACCATGAAATACATCCATAACGTGTCATTTATCCCAAAGTTAACTTCGTTTTGCACATCTTGTCTCTGAGAGGGATCTAAAACATACACTAGTGTTTGTGAGAATTACCCCAAACACCCCAAGGAGACGAACTATTACATTGAAATTTATTCCACAGATTAGGATATCACAATATACAAATGATTAGAATTACAATACCAGCATTTTGAACTTGAGTATTTAGTGCGGTGTAAAGCTACCATACGCTGCCATTAGAGCCTCTAGACGTCGTAGCATGGATTCAAAGAGCCTGGATATGCTGCTGGTGCTGGGAACACACTGCCACGCAAGTTTCTACGCGTGACCTCAAAGCATCGACAGTGGCTGCAGGGGTCCCAGAACGAACAAGTTGCTGACCGATCATATCCCACACATGTTTGATGGACAACATGTCAGGCGAACGTGTAAATTAGGGAAACAGTGGTGCTTGAACATTCCTCGCCACATGCTGTCGAGCATTGCCCTGCAGAAATATGGCATGTGGAGCTGCTTGCAGGAGGGGCAGTAACTTTGGCCCATAAGATTGCCCGCAATTCTTATGAGGTGAAATTTCACATTAATACCAATAACGCCCCAAAATCAAGACTCTTGGCGTTTGTCCACTATGGCGCAGAACAATGAAGTGTGGCATATTGCGGTATACCGCGGTAGCGTCGACCACGTACGCGACCATCGCTGTAATACAAATTGAGGCGGGACTCGTTCGCAAACACTATATTTAGCCACTCAGCACACCAGAGAACACGTTCACGTGCCCATTGCTGACTGAGGTGTTGGTGGTTTCTGGTCAACGAAATCCGATGCAGTGGTATGCGTGCCACCAGTCCAGCCTTCAGCAGACGGCGTCGAACCGTCAACGCAGGCATGACCACACCCGTTGCGGTGCTCCAAAGTCGGGCTAATACCGTCGGACGACACCGTTCGGTCGTTTATGGCCATGAGGACAGTAAGGCTGCTATCTTGTACTGTGGTCACAGTTTTGTGTGCTGTGGTCACAGTTTTGTGTGCTGTGGTCACAGTTTTGTGTGCTGTGGTCACAGTTTTGTGTGCTGTGGTCACAGTTTTGTGTGCTGTGGTCACAGTTTTGTGTGCTCCAGTACCCGCTCGTCGCTGTGTACGAGCCGCCTCTATCCACTGGTTTTACACACGCATCACTCATCAGCCGCAATTTTTTTGCACGTATATGTTAATTATACGATTCTCTTCTGTAATATTTGCGTATTGTAGTTTTTTGTGATATACTCGTACCCATGTCTGTGTATTGTAATGAATGTATGAGCTAAGTGTGACAGCTGAAAACCAGTTTTTCGGTATCAACCAAAAACGTGACGAGAAACCACGTTTCTCACTACACTACACATTAGAGAATTAAGGAGCACGAAAACAACTTTTACGCGCACCTTAACTCAGGGATGAACAAAACGAGTTGTCTGTCAAACAAATTTCACTTTTCGCTGTAGCATTACATAACTTTCTCTGTACTACATATATTACTCCTTTATATACGTACGTATACGAGAAAATAAAAATATTTAGAGAAAATATTCTTCTTTCTATTCTTATTGTCTGTAAAACAGTGATAAAGCTGGCTTTTTTGTAAAACGAGCTGATCCACGTACAACTTAGGGGGAAAATGGTGGCTTAGATAGGCGTGATCATTTTGGTTTCCACACGGCTGATAAATTCACGAAGCCATTCGAATCACGATATCAACGCAGCCCTGGATTCGAAGGCAGGGCGTGTTGATCCTGTTGCCATTTTCGCCTTTGGCGATGACTTAATCTACGCAACCTGTACTTATTTTAACGATTTTTAAATGAAGCCTAATTATGGCATTTTCCTTAACTGCATTCTTCCAAATTTATCTCGATGCGCCCTTGGCCCACATATATGAATTCCGGATGTCAAAGAGGGGATGGTGACATTCCTATGGATACCACAGTAATGTCAGCTTTCAGGATCCAAAAAAATATTTATTAATTTTAGGTACAATTAAAAAAAATATTTTGTGTATACATTATTTTTATTTCATCCAAAAGCATCCATCCCCGTCATAAAAATAAAATATAAAGATAACAATATTCTTTGAAGTTTGAAATGTATTGACGCTTAAAATATCACAACAAATTAGATTGAATGGACAAAACACTGCCAGTAAAATAAGAATAGGAGGATATCTTAAAAGTCCATCTAAAGTTTATCTAAATTTAACTTTAAAGAATATCTAAAGTTTGCAGCTGGCAGCAGGCACTTGAAGTTCCCACAGGCGCTGCACACACGGATCACAGCTCTCTAATTCTTGTAATACTCGTACATCTGCACAAGAAATCATGGCAAAGATCATAAGACCAAGAAAAACAGTAGAGCAATTCAACCTTACGTTGGAGTACAGCGCAAATGGGGAAGGGTGTTGCCCGATTCGACGAACTTATTTCCAGTGGTGAGGCGTTCATCGATAGCTGCACGGATGACGAATCAAAATTTTAAAAAACATTGCATTCTCAATACTTTACAGAAGAATGGGATGTAAGAAAAAATGCACGGACATTTTTAATTGTACTAGTAAAAAAACAGTTGAAAAATAACCATGAAAAACGAGAAACACTTAATGGATTCACCTATATTGAGAACTCGCCACCGCTCACGGTGACTCATCCCGCTCACGGTGATCCTCGTGCTGTATTCCTTTGGACGTAGATAAGCACTCCTGTCATCGCTGTTTTTGTAGAATCTCGGCTATGGTCAATCTGGTCATTCCAGGTCAAATGCGCCATTACGACGTAGTATAACTTGTAAGCGAAACGGTGTATTGTGTTTGAGTGCCTCCTGATTGAGGGTTTTTCATGGATTTGTTAGTGTTTTAAAGGTTTTGGTTGTCATGCGCTGTGAAGAATAATTAAGTTATCAAAAATTAGCTGAAACAAAATCTAAATCTATTTGGTTGACTTACATTTGAAGAGAAGCTTTTGACAGATCCAGTAAATTGGTAATTTTTGTTTTGTGAGAAGACAATTTTACTGAGTATTTAAGGAACTTTTACGTGTAGCTAAATTAATATGCGCGATATTAGTTCCAACAGCATTCCTAGAAAGGAGTTCCCCTGCTTTAAAAATAATACACACATACAAGATAAGACACAAAAAGAAGAGCAAATGTGCAGTCATATTAATTGAGAAATCACTCTTGGAATCCTTAGGAGGGTAAGAGATAATTAAAAAATTCTTCTTCCAAACATTTTCCACTACAGCTAGACAGCTCAACTTCAAATATTTAATAATGAAGTGTTAAGAGTATTTACACAAATTTATCTTATAACTTGATATATCAATATGACGTTAATACGGCGACTTCCAAGCGTCACGTATTATTTTAGAAGATAAATTATACATAATTTTATTAATTTAAATAATTTTGAATCAAAACATCTAATGTATGGGAGAGTCCCCGATCGTTCACACGACCGGAGATGTAGCATTCTCTAGTGTCCATTGATTTTTTTTTACTTAGTCTGTATTTGAATGTGCAGTAATACCTGGCAGAACCATCGCGAAGGGCTCCGATACTTCGGAGTCGGGTTCCCAGCACAGATTATACTGCATTTTCGCAACTGTGCCCCTGGCAGGTATCAGCTGATGGTAGTTTCATCTAAACGGGAGCTCAAACGTCACCACCATCAACAGCTGATACCTGCCAGGGGCAGAGATACATTAATCGTATTATAGCTGTGTTATTTCCGTACGTTAATGAGAGTGTAACCCATGCTGTAGCACGCGTGCGTCGGGAACGCAACTTCCAATCGTATGATCCTTAGTTTTTTTTTACACAGCGACTATACTCGAGGGCTGTGACGTTTAAGCGGCTCCTCGACGATCTCGGATCGCGATTGTTTGCAAGATCCTTTTGATGCGAGGAACGCTGAAATGGCAACGACTGATCAGTTGAATGTACGCCTATTTCAAATTATTTGCGCGGATGGAGTGCGCTTTCTGGCAGATCAAGCAATAATATTAATGAGTGGTAACTGAATACCAAATCTAATTTTAAAATAATTACTTCATTTCAAATTTTTTGGATTAAATGAATTGCAGTTTTGCCGTTACACCAAAATTTCTAAAACATTTCAATATTGTCTTAAGAAAGACCAGGAGATTTATTATTAAAAAATGAAGACATCAACAAAAACGAGCGTAGTTTTGGCCTTTTAAAAGAGAACACTTTATGACAATCGACTCCCGCCCCTCCCCAGTCGCATCTGAAAGGTAGAATCTCGATAGAAGGAAAGTCTAGTGATGACCATGCAACAATGGTCACACCACTCCACTGACCATGTATTTAGGAAATAAGCCCTGGTATTAATTTCTTGAGTTCATTTTAAAATGATAATTCATAGCGACTATCACTTTTCTGTAGAGTAGACAATCATTCTCAATGCTGACCTCTTGTGGCGGCATAACGAAGCAGGGCGGGTCGCAGCGCAGCGGCTGGCGCAGCCATGCTGAAGTGAGGATAGAGAGCGCCAGACAGGGCGTCGCGAACGTTGCAGACGAGCAATGCCAGCAGTTCGCCAGTCGGCCGCAGCACTGCGCCGCCGCTGGCACCCGATTGCGCGACGCACGTCGTCTGCAGAAGCGCTGGGCGCGCTCTTGCGATCTCGCCCGCGGCCAGCAGCGGCCTCACGCCCGCGCCGTCGCCCGCGCGCGCGTCCTGCTCGGAGAAGAGCGCGAAGCCAGCGGCCAGCACGCGCTCACCTGCGAACACGCGCAGCGCCGCGCTCCGCTGTCACGCCCTGCGCCCTGGGCGAATCCAGCGCTGCAGGTCGTAGGTTGAGGAATCTCTTTTAATATACAATACACGGATTGTTTCTAAACTTTACATTTCATCTTATGAAAAAAAAAATGGTGAGAACTTTTCAAAATATTTTTTTCTAGGAAGAATCAGATAATGACGATCTCACTGTCAAGATATATGGGAAGATTGGAAGATTGGCACAATGAAGTACCACTACTTTCATTTTTCAATAATGAAATTCGCGAGGTTTATTAAGGAGCAAGTCTCTTCCTAAGGAGCAAGTCTCTTCCTAAGGAGCAAGTCTCTTCCTAAGGAGCAAGTCTCTTCCGAAGGAGCAAGTCTCTTCCGAAGGAGCAAGTCTCTTCCATACCTTGCTCAAAATTTGGGCTGTTTCCAGTAAAACACTTCCCAATCTTCTGAATTACCTGGGATTTTAGCAAAATTCTAACACAAATTTTGCGGAATAAACCTCAAGCCCCAATACCTATCGGAACTACCCGTGCTTTTACGCCCCACTTTCGGATGATCTCGATTTCGAAACTCCTGAGTTAGAGATGCGTTGATGCACGGCACAGCAATATCTACAAGTAGACACTTTTTACTCTCCAGATCCCGAATAACAATATCTTGTTTGTTTGCCACTATCGTGCGATCAGTTCGCATTTTTTGGTCGTAAAATATTGTACACAGTCCAAAAGACGTCACCAATTTCGGAGAACGTTCGTACAACTTGAAGCATGCGTTTGGCACTTCGAGAGCGCTGTAGATTTGCCAGCGGAGGTAACAACGCACTCTATTGGTTTTTGTCAAGTATTCAGTCTTTGATAAAATTGGACAAGCTGAGACGATGAGATCAATGGTTTCTACTTGTA